ATGTGAATCTGTTAGTTTCTATTAGTTCTTTCGTACACTTTACATTACAGGTAATCCTCAACTTGCAACCACAATTATGCCCAACATTTCTGTTGCTAAGCAAGACAGTTGTTAAATGAGTTTTGTCCCATATTACGACCTTTCCTGCCATAGTCAGTGAATCACCACGGTTGTTAAGTTAGTATCACAGTTGTTAAGTGATAATGGCTTCTCCATTGACTTTGCTTGTCAGAAGGCCGTAAAAGGTGATTACATGACCCCGGGACTCTGTAACCATCATAAATATGAGCTAGTTACCAAGGATCTTAATTTTGATCACAAGACCATGGGGATGCTGCAGTGGCCATAAATATATTAACAACTTTTAACAGTCAGTAAATGTAAATATGTTCAGGTTTTAAGGCAGATCTCTCTTGTATCAGAGCAGAGGTCTATCTAGCTCAACCTTCCCAGAATTCCCTAGCCAGCAACCCTTTGTTGGGAATTTGAGACAATGTCTATATATCCGGAGGGCACCCAGGTTGGGAAAGTTGATCCAGTCCACAATTCTGTTGTTTGTAGTCTAAGTGGTATCTTAGGAACAGCCAGTTCTGCACCTCAGGAACAAAACACCACAAACTCTCTTCAACGATGGGCAACGTATGATTCAATAAGTGGGAAAAAGAACAGGCTGTTGCAGTTTTTAATAGGGGTGGTAGCCCACATTAAAGAAGACAGGTTTTGTGGCACCTTTGAAAGCTGAACAAACGTATTGTAAAGTTTAAGTTTAGTTACGGAGTAAAGCTAAAATGGTGTGCAGCTTATCCCAAGATAAATTACTAAACTCAACTAGTTTTTGAGCTCTTGTGTTCGGTTAGTAATAGCAATAGCACTTAAACTTCATAGTTCTTTTCAGCCCCTCTCCAAGCAGTTTACAGAATCAGCATATTGCCTCCAACAATCTGGGTCCTCATTTTACCCACCTCGGAAGGATGGAAGGCTGAGTCAACCTTGTTCCGGTCAGGAGTTCCAGGATCGAATTCCTGCCTATGGGCAGAGTCAGCCTGTAATACTGCAGTTTAACCACTATACCACCACAGCTCTTAATTAACTCCTTCATCTCCAACAGTACTTGTTTAGCTGCTTGTGCGACAAAAGAAAGGAATACTACACAAATGTCAGCAAGTACACAAGGGAGCTGCTTGATGAGCGAAAAAATCAACATGCACAGCGAATGCAAATTCAGGAACTCGGAAAGCCTCACTTGAAACAGCAGGGACCTGGATCGCAGCAGCCTGGTCTCTCTGAACTGATGCAGAGCTTGGATGGTCTCACTGAGGTAATGGTTTTCCAAAGATTGCCTGCTTGGGACTGGAATTGGGGAAAGCAACATTGCCAGGACATTGCTACGTCTCCAAGCACCATTTCCAAACCCCCTCCCTCAACTAAACTACAGTTCAGAAGAATGAAATGGCCAAAATAACATGCATTTGGAAAATTTCACACACTCCCACAACATTTGGATATGGAAGCATCTTGACCATTGCATAACAGAACCTGAAATATTTGTCATCCTGTGTTGTGGGCTGTGATAATGACTTCCATCATTTGCTGATTTTTTTTTAAAAAACTATTTAATTAGAAAATGTACATTTGTTGGTTATACAACAATAAAAGCAATAACCCTGCAGCTCCCTGGCAACAGCAATCAGTTAAAGAAGCCCCTTGATGAGACCTATCCCACTCCAGATTCCCCAGGCCGATTGGCAAAGCCAAGGTCTTCAGAGCCTTGTGAAACAGGGTCAGAGTGAAATAAAGCACCTTTGGGTTTTTATCTCGATGTAATAATAGATGCTGTCAATACTGCTTTTCTTTCCAAGAGAGCTCAGGGCAGTTTCTGAGAGAAGAATTTTAAAAAATGTAAATGAAACCATCATATAAAAAGTTGAACATTCTGTTTGACAAAAATAAATATTTACATAATTCGGGGGTGGGGAGGCTACTTTGTCAATTATATTCAAGATGGCACAGAAGAAGGGATACTAAACCAGAGTTAAAGCATTTTTCCTAAAGGCCGTAATTTAAGGTACAGCATTTTTCAAAATCAGCCCTTGGCATGTCCAATTAAAACTTGCAAGAAGAAAATAATGTATCTATTGGTATTTCATTCCCACTATGATGGCTCTGTGGACAGGTGGGAAGATAAATCAGCTTAAACGTTTCTTTTCAGTGTGGTTAATTGAGCTAGAAGGGTTAATACTGTATCTGTGTTAAAAGGTTTCTGCATTAATTCTCTTCCCAGTTACCATGCTGCAAAAAATAAGTCATGATACATGTCTTGACAAACCAGATCATTTTTATGTATTTCTTGGCGCAGCAAATGTCAAAAGAAGTTTCTGAAATGGAAGAAGAACTCGGTAGCACAGAGGTTACGTTACAAGAGTTGGAACATAAGAACACTGAGGTGGAACAGTATTTGGAACGGTGCTCATATGTTGATTTCCAAGGCTTTGAGGCAACAACAAAGCAAAATATTGAAAAGTTTCAGTCCATTAATCAATTTCTACGGCCCAAAGCTCAGGTACGAGATGCAGATTTAAAAGGTGTGGCACAATATTATTGTTTTTGCCTTGTTAAGGGTGCGCTTGGAGATAATGCTGTACATGTAGTTGCGTGTTTCTTATGGTTTAATAATCCAAAGCAACTTGGATTATTGGACATGTTGATCTAGTTTGCAGAAAGTGTGTTCTGGTGTAATTGGATGACTCTATGTAAGAGATAGCAATGTAACAATACCTCCCTTAAGATTTATCGCTGCCTTTATATTACAGCCCTATTTTCAAGCTAGATCTGCGCTGGAAGCCATAAATGCCAACTACTGCAGAGAGATTGATGCTACTCTGAAAGCATGTAGAGAAGAAACAAAGGAACTGATTCTACAGTTAGATATGTTAGAAAAAGATCAAAAATCCTGTGGTGTTGCTAATATGTCACGAGAAGAAAACCATAAGCTAAGATATAAACTGGAAGCAACCGAACAAGATACAAAGGTGTGTTTTTGTTAAACTCCTGTTTGACACCTCAGCCTGATGTCTCTTCATTTGTCTAATCTGATTAATGCTTAGTTCTTTTCTATGCAGCTTTTCCTGGTATGCCATTTATTAAATTTCTATTTAGTCTCTGCTTTCCCAAATATATGATGTTCCCAAATCCATTCTAGTTCTTAAATAGGTTTCCTGAGAGAATATGTTTTATCCAACTTTTTTAGTTGAAAAGAACAGATGATAGAAAAATTAGTTCATCAATGAGGCAGACTTTGACAAATCATGACATTTTGATTTAAAATAAATCTATAGGATGACGCTTATAAATCTGTGGTTGCAGGAAACATGATATTGGGTAATCTCTGCCCTATAAAAATAAAGAGTGTTTTCCCAATAAATGCATGAAATGGTACCGGGTTACCTTTTATAAATGAGGAAGTACCCTGTTGGGAATTAGTTTTGCTTATATTCGTCTTCCTTTGATGCTACATCTCTTACTATTGTTTTTCTGATCATTTTCACTGTTTTCAGGCCACACTTTTTTTAATAAAGAGCCCAGCATTCAAAATATTGGAATCATTGTGATCTTCAGAGCTTCAGATCCAATTAACTCTACATGTATCGGAGTTATCACCAATAACAGCTAAACGTTTTTTCCACCTTTGAAAATAAAATCTGGAAGTGGTGTTCCATTTTCTAATAACACACTTTCTTTTTCAAAGAATCTGCAGTTGAAAATCCAAGAACTAGAAAGCATAATAAATGAAGGAAGTAAGAATCTCCAGGAAAAAGAGAAAACAATAGCCATACTAGAAATGAAACTTAATGTGAAAGCTTCCAGGAGTGAAGTCATCAAGCTTCAAGCTGCATTAGAGGAAAAAGAAAATTGCTTAAGAAATGCATTAAGTGAGAGAGAAGCACTCAGGGTATTGTATGTATAAGTGACTTCTCATGTTGGGAGTAAAATATTTATTCATGGGATTCACACAAATGTCTTAGATCTTCACATTTTCTCTCTGCAATTCCTATATAAAACTTATGCAATGTTCTGGGCTGCTGGACACTGGAAGGCAAGTTTATACAAAGGAATTATCAGCTCACAATGTTATGCTTCCTCCCAGCCTTGCTTGTGGCTAAACATACTCCTCCTCAAAGAAAATGAAAGTGCTCTACAACTTTGGCCCATTCTCTGGTGTTCTCTAGTATTTTTAATGCAATTCAGTTATTTGTGGAATGAAACCATGGAAGGACAATTTCCTGCAGATCAGATATGGCACCAACTGTGATTTGACAGGGTGCTAACTCTGATCTCTTGCTGGATCCAAACCTCCATCTGAAAAGGGTCCTGACATTATTACTTTGATCTGAAGAGGTATGTAGCTCATTTTTACTAAAAGTCTATTATCTAATATGTAAATATGATTTCATTTTCTAAAGTGCTTATTGGGCACTTGGAAATATACAACTGTTGTTGTCTTCTCAAGAGATCATGTTTTTCTTTTTCTTACTAGGCCCAGGTGGATAAAGGTGTTGGATTATATAAGGAGGAAATTGAAGGCCTGAGAACTCAGCTTGTTAATTAAAGCTGATATGGCAAGAATGAAACAATCCAAATTGTTTGATCGAGAGTAAGTTCCATTTCCTTGAAAAGGCAATTCTATAGAGCACAGATTCTGTCCTCATTTGGATATTTATCATCTGGACACTTGGTGCATTTTTCCGTATCTGAGAAAGCAAAAAAGCAATATTTCTTTAATATTTTGTCCTTTTATCTTACAAGAAATGCCTTCTTTGGATAACAGCTGATACCTTGGGCATTTCCCAAAAGTATTTCTTAATGATTTCATTAAAAAGAGCATAAGAAGGATATAATTTTTTTTAGAAAAATGTAGTTAGGTGTATGAAGTTGAGGGAAGTGCTAGGATGGTAATTATTTCCAGTATAATGTATAGAATCTTCATAGGAACCTATGTTATTAGAAGTTAACAATGAATCATATAATCTTTTTATGCAAACATCCTGAGTCCTGCCACCTGGCAGTTAATATACTGGACTTTTTTTTTTTTACTATTTATTTGATTTGTCAATCGCTTACAAGATACACAGGTATAAGAATAAATATACTGTAGTTTTGAATACATGAGATAGATACTTATAAGAAAAATAAAAAACAATAGGACAGGGATGGTAGGCACGATAGGTGCGCTTATGCATGCCCTTACAGGCCTCTTATGAAGGGGATGAGGTCAATAGTAGCACTCTAAGGTTAAAGTTTTGGGGGTTTGGAGAAGAAACCACAGAGTCAGGTAGAGTATTCCAAACATTGACCACTCTGTTGCTGAAGTCGTATTTTCTGCAGTCAAGTTTGGTGAGTTTGTATCTATTGTGTGCTCTTGTATTGTTATAATTAAAGCTGAAGTATTCATTTGCAGGTAGGACATTGCAATGTATGATTTTATATACTATATTTAGATCGGACCAGAGGCGGCGTAGTTCTAGGTTTTCTAGGTCTAGAGTTTCATTGACCTTACTTGGATTTGGGGAGAATTCTAGAGATCAAATAGAAAGTGTTTTAAATGAGATCTAGTTTGGTTTTGGGGAGAATTCTAGGGGTCAAATAGGAAGTATTACATTGATAGACTTTATTTTATAAAAGAAAATAAACCAAACCTACCTATAATCAAACAAACTGAAAATTACACTGCTAACCAGTAGAAAAAATTATAAATTTTATTTATACAATTTATTTATATATTTTTGTTCTGTCTCACCTGTGGCCACGAGGTGAGAGTCCAAATGTCCAAAGGAGAAAAAACACAAACAGACAATATCAGGAACAACAGAGTTAACTTTCCTTTGGCTTAATTCGTCGTTGGCAGTTTTCCCAGAAGCTGTCAGCAAATTCAGATAATGACCAGAACTATAAATCAGAGCCGAATGGCAAACAGAAAACTTTTTCCAAACTGCAAACGCAAATAACAAAGTTTGACCCGAATGGGGATTCCAAGCTAACACGCCTCCTTATATTTCCTGAGGGGCGTGTCAGTCTCTTTCCTCAGTCCTTGATTCGACGTCTCCTTCCAGTTTGTGCTTGACGTTTCTGCTTACGTCTGTTCCTTGCATCAAACCAAGATTCTTCGGTTTGATCTTCATCCAAGGACTCTGGCATGTTCTCCTGATTATCTGCCGACACAGGTGTAACTAATGAGGAAGGTCCTGGAGAGGATGAGGATTCGGAAACTTCCAGCAAAGCAGGTTCAAACCCCAATGCCCTATCTTCCTCTTCCTCTTGGCTCACATTTGTGTCACTCAACAAGGCAAGCTCAAACCTTAATGCCAGATCTTCCTCGAGCCTATGTCTTCTGACAGAGCAGGTTCAAACCTCTGAGTCACAACATTTATTTATATTTATAATTTAAAGAGGACAAAATGAATTTTCTAACGGAGATATTCCAAACAAGAGTAAGGAATACATATGGGTTCAAAGACCATGATTTTCATCTTGCCAGAGGAGGAAAAATGAAGTGGCATCTGTCTTGCACAGCATCTATGAAGGAATCTGACTGTCACTGAGCCTTGCAATTAGAAATATCTACTTTAATCTTAATCTCCAGCCTTTTAGTATCCCCTCTCTGTTGTATTCCTCTTTTCTGTTGCTTTCTGACATTATATCGATTTTTCACCTTATTTTTCCCTTTCTTGGTTGTTTTTTTAGAACTTAAATTCTCCATTTTCTTTTCCCTTTTACCCTTTTCTTTCTCATTTAAAATCATATGTCCATTAAAGGTGGCTTCATCCCAGCCTTTTTCTTGTTGCATTTCCTGATAAGTAGAAATTGCCATTTCTAAGAAGCAAAGGATAGATCCAAAGGAGCCCTTGCCTTCTTCTTCCTCTTCTCTTAATTTTTCAAATTGCATTTTCAATTCTTCAACAGATACCATTGTGAAAAATTTTTTAAACAATCCAAATGTTTTCTTAGTCTTTCAAAAGATAGTTCACAAAAGTCCCAAAGTCATCAAGCAATCAAAATCAGCACAATCAGCACAGTCTGTTTCATTTAGCACTTTCTTCTACTTTCTCTTCCTGGGGTAGAATTCAATTACACAATTCCAAGGTATTTTTTGGAAGTTTTATTGCAATTTAATCTCTGATCTTATAAAACTCCAAGCAATCTCCTTCAACAAACGTTGGTTAAATCATTTACCTCTCTTCCTTCCCACTTAAAGCAAAAAGATTTTAATTTTTAAATGTCAGTGTTTAGAAATCTAATGTCCTCTTGGCTTTAATTTTCAGAGTTAGTACCTTCTGCTGCCAAAGTGGGTATTTCCGATTTCCATCTGCTGTCTTCTTGGGGAAGGAGAGTGAGGAGAAAAGAAAAAAACTTTCCCTTTACTTTCCACCGCAGCTTAACGATCTTCTGGGAAACAATATATCACTTAAAGAGCCAAAGTTCCAGGGTATTCAGATGTTAATTGTCGTCCCGGTTCAGCCAAAAGCCTTCTCTTTCTTCACTTCCTCCTGCACAAAACTTGTCTAAGTGCTTGGTCTTTTTAAAATTGGAATTTGAAAGGAAATAAAAGGAATTCCATTATAATAAAATAAAAACCCTGAAAACTGAAACGCTAGAATATTACAAGGGGAAAAAGATACATGAAGAAATTGCCCTGGGATTATTTAGTGACTTTGGGAAAAAGTTGGAAAAGAAATCAACAGAAGGAAGCTGGAAACAAAGATTTACAGACACTGACTGTTGAAATTTAATAAATAAAATAAACTACTGGACAATTGAATTGGACATAAATATTAAAGAAAGGAAAATAAAAGAAGAAGTAGTGTACAAAATGGGGGAAATGTGTGTGGAAATAAAATTGGAACAACAAAATAGGAAGGAAATGATGAAAGAAAGTTTGGAAATGTATAGCATTATACTACAAAAATTAGAAATGGTAATGCAGATTAAAGAACAAAGAGAACCAGAGGGGAGGAGTGAAATAGAGGAAACCAGCCCTAAAGAACAAGTGGAACAACATTAAAACAAGGAAAAAAGAATTAAAGTTAAAAATGTGAGGTTTGATGTGATAATTAAAGGGGGAATTGTTTGGAAAATAAACAAAGGAAAAGGAAACAGCAGAAGAGGGAATTACAGAGGAGAAATCAAGAGAGGGAGGGGGATAAAATAAATAGTTGGAATAAGAAATGGAGAGAAATTATAAAGGAAAAAGGAGGAAATAAGACAAAGGACCAGAAAATGATGGGAAGTAGAAAGCAAACAATGAAAAGAAATTATATACTCAGGAGAATGAGAGACAATGAGAGACTATTATCAGTTTCTAAAATTAATTGAATAAATATTTTTGAAATAGATGATTTAGAATGTAATTGAGAAAAAAAATACCATGCGGAATCTGACACACACACACACAAACACACACACACATAAATACATGTGTGATATGTAGTAGTTAGATTGTTATTAATGTAGAATGTGATAATTAAAAAATGACTATACTATGGTAAAGCTTTATAATGATTTAAAGGGAATAAATTGGGGGAGTGTATAAGGGTGGCAAGCTCGAATTGACAATTAAAGGGACACCTGGATTATTAGAATTAGGATGGAACCTATTGAACAATGAATGGAATAATAGTATGTGATGGAATTGCAAATGTGACAGATAAAAGTAAATATATGTACTGAATATAGAAATAAGAACCTTGGATAATACTGTAAAACAAGATATGAGAATATTTAAAGAAAAATGAAATAAGTTATATGAATTGGAATTGGATAAGTGTAATGAATATAAGAATATTTGAGAATATTTAAAGGAAAATGGAATAAGTAATAATACGATATGAAATTGAACACGAAAGATGAATATGTAACTGTTATGTCTCGCCTATATTCACAAGTGAGCATACAAAGTTCCACAGTTCCAAACATTC